GTGTGTGTGTGTGTATGGGTATGTGGTCATTAATTAAACGTGTACTCTGCCTGATCAGGAAGACTTACTGTCTTCAACCTGGTGCTGCATTTGTCCAGGAAGTGGAAGTGATCTCCAACAACAGGGCACAGAATCATTGAGAGAGTGTGCTTTGTTTTTGCTGATTGTTCTAAAACAAAGCTACAGAATGCACCCCCAAGACAGAATTAGCATCTTTTCCTGAGTTTGAGTTCCCCTACACCTGCTGGTGTAAGTTATTTTTCGCTCCTGAATGTGATCAGGTTGAGGGTGTTAGTTTTTCACTGTGATGCAGATTCCTAAGCTATTCCTGTACACCGTCTTGGCCCCTTATTCCTCCAGGGCCCATGTCTCCTCCCTGGGTCTTTGTCCCAGCCAGTAACTATGCAAGGTCTGAGGTCACATGTCACCAGGTTATAGACCAACGGGTGTATTTGAAATCACAAACTTTCGGAGCGTTGCCCCTTTGTCAGGTGAAGTGGATTTTTTTTTAACGTGTTGATATCGTTGTGTAGTCGTTTCGGTGATTCCTTCGCTGTGAGTCCAAAGGAAGAAAATGTTATTGATGTATCTGGTGTAGAGCATTGGTTGGAGGTCCTGTGCAGTGAAGAAGTCTCGCTCAAACTTGTGCATGGAAATATTGGCGTATTGGGGAGCAAATTCAGTCCCCATGGCTGTTCCGTGTGCTTGGATGAAGAACTGTTGTCAAGGGTGAAGGCGTTGTTGTTGAGGATGAAGCGGATGAGTTGTAGGATGGCGTCTGGGAATTGGCAGTTGGTGGTATTGAGCACTGATGTCGTCAGCATCAGTAACTCTGCAGTTAGTTACACTAATCTTTTGCGCCAGGTTCCCAACAATTTTTAAGGGATTGGGTAAAGAAGTAGTAGGCTACATTTTTTTTCAATGATTTAACAATTGAATAACCCTATTTGGGATGACTTAAAATGGTTTGAAAGCACAGAATTTATGAAGTAAATAGTATTGTTTCAAAGCAATACTTCATTCCTCGTGAAGTGATTGGAATTTCTTGAGGTGGCTGTTTCTAAGATGAAAGCCCAATGCAAACATTCAAAAAATATTTTGTGAAGTTTCATATCTGACACTTTTGGGGAATGTCAGAAGTTGCATGACACCAGCTTATAGTCCAACAGGTTTATTTGGAATCACACAAGCTTTCGAAGCATAGCCCCTGCGTCAGGTGCAGTGAAAGGAAAGCACACGGACACAGAGTTTATAGGCAGAGAGATCATGGGCAGAGAGATCAAAAGATCCCCATACAACTGGTGTGAGCGGAATGTCAGATGTTAAGTCTCTGCAGGTGACCAGGAGTAAAGTGTTTATAAAGTCAACGTCAGTGCTGTGCTATTCATGACAATCAGGCAGAGCCATAACAATATGCAAAAAGTGACATCTCAGGTCAGAAACTGAATTGTAGGTGTGAGGCTTTGTTCAGAATCTGTCTCAGAGTTTTAACCTGGAATCAGGCTGGTTTTATTCTGAAAGAATTTATAAGATGTCACACTGACTGACTGTGACTACAAATTATTAAACAAACATTTATGAAATGATTCACCCCATAGATATGTGTGTGTGTGTTTGTGACTGTTGCGTGTGTGTGTGTGTGTGTGTGTATATGTGAATGTGTGTTTGTGACTCTGTGTGTGTGTGTGTGAATGTGTGTTTGTGACTTTGTGTGTGTGTGGATCCATCTCGGCCTCCTCCAGTGGTCCCCAGTATCACAGATACCAGTTTTCAGCCAATTCGATTCACGTGCTATCGAGAAACAGTTGGAGACGCTGGATACTGCAAAGGCTACGGGCCCTGACAACGTTCTGGCAATAGTACTTGTTAGAGACCAGACCAGCTTCCCCCAAAATTTAGTATCGAGATAGTGTAGACACTAAATTTTGGCAAGTATAAGGTGCTGTATCCCAGATATGATTTGATAGGTTTACCACTAAGCATTAATCAAATTGCCCTTTATTCTTACAACACAGTTAAGATACAACATAATGAAGAAGCAGTATAACTTTATTCTATTGAAATACTTAACAAGATAATGTATTATTTAACTACTGGTTATCGACTGATCCAATATAGGCAGCATCCCATAAACACGCCCTTTAGTAAAATGCAAAGCAGCAAAAGCAGTTATTAGTCTCACGTGCCGTCTCTCTCCAGTCCTGTGGAAAGAAACACTGAGTGAAACAATCTGTCCCTTCTGATTTCAAAGAGAAAAACTCTCTAAATCTTCTAAGAGAGAACCGTAGCTGTTCGCTCCAGGAGCTATTAAACGAAATGAAACAAAGCAAAACCAACTTCCTCTGGGTCTGAGCCAGACCCCACCTCTCATGATTATTTTGTCTTACTTTGAAAAAAAACAGCCAGGGAGAAACTCAAAGTTGTTTACAAACTGCCTGCCAGCACCACGGTGACAAGAGAAACAGTATGAAACACAACTCCTAAAGGCACAGTATCACCACATACTGAAGACTTGTGCTCCAGGAATTGCTGCTCCCCTAGCCAAGCTCTTCCAGTATAGGAACAACACTGGCATCTGCCCGACATTGTGACAAATTGCTCATGCATGTTCTGTACATAAAAAGCAGGACAAATCCAACCCGTCAATTACTGCCCCATCAGTCTCCTCTCGATCATCAGTAAAGTGATGGAAGGTGTCAGTAACAGTGCTACCAAGCAGCACCTGCTCAGCAATAATCTGCTCAGTGACGCCCAGTTTGGGTTCCACCAGGGCCACTCAGCTCCTCACCTCATAACAGCCTTGTTTCAAACATGGACAAAAGAACTGAATTCCAGAAGTGAGGTGAAAGAGACAGCCCTTAGCATGGCATCAAGTAGCCCTAACAAAATTGGAATCCATGGCATTGGGGGCAAACTTTCCACTGGTTGGAGTCATATGCAGGGAGGCGATGGCCTAGTGGTATGACCACTGCACTGTTCTCCCAGAGACCTAGCTAATGTCCTGGGGGGCTGGGTTCAATTCTCTCCGCAGCAGATAGTGGAATTTGAATTCAATAAAAATCTGGGATTAAGAGTTCTAATGATGGCCATGGATCCATTGTTGATTGTCAGGAAAAACCTAATTGGTTCACTGATGTCCTTTAGGGAAGGAAACTGCCATCCTTACCTCGTCTGGCCTACGTATGATTCCACACCCACAGCAATGTGGTTGACTCTTAACTGAGCCTCTGGGCAATTAATGCTGGCCTAGCCAGCAACATCTACATCCCATGAATAATTTTTTTTATAAACATGGCACACAGGAAGATGGATATAGTTGATGGAGGTCAATCATCTCAGCCCCAGGACATCTCTGCAGGAGTTCCTCAGGGTAGTGTCCTTGGCGTAAACATCTTCAGCTGCTTCATCAATGACCTTCCTTCCATCATAGGGTCAGAAGTAGGGATGTTTACCGATGATTACACAATGTTCAGCACCATTTGTGACTCCTCAGATACTGAAGCAGTCCATGTTCAAATGCAACAAGATCTGGACAATATCCGGGCTTGGGCTGACAAGTGGCAAGTAACATTCATGCCACACAAATGCCAGGCTATGACCATCCCCAGTAAGAGACGATGGAACTGCCACCCCTTGACCTTTAATGGTGTTACCATCACTGAATCCTCCACTATCAATATCCTGGGGGTTACCATTAACCGGAAACACAACTGGACTCACCACATAAACACAGTGGCTACAAGAGCAGGTCAGAGGGTCAGAATATGGCAGCGAGTAACTCACCTCCTGACTCCTCAAAGCCTGTCCCCCATCTACAAGGCACAAGTCAGGAGTGTGATGGGATACTCCTCACTTGCCCTGGATGGGTCCAGCCCCAACAACACTCAAGAAGCTCGACACCATCCAGGACCAAGCAGCCGCTTGATTGGCACCACATCCACAAGCATCCCACTCCCTCCACCACCAACGCTCAGTAGCAGCAGTGTGTACTATCTACAAGATGCACTGCAGAAATTCACCAAAGATCCTCAGACAGCACCTTCCAAACCCACCACCACTTTCATCTTGAAGGACAAGGGCAGAAGATACATGGGAACACCACCGCCTCCACTTTTCCCTACAAACCCCTCACCGTCCATTCCTTCACTGACGCTGGGTCAAAATCCCGGAATTCCCTCCTTAATGGCATTGTGGGTCAACCCACAGCAGGTGGACTGCAGCGGTTCAATAAGGCAGCTCACCACCACCTTCTCAAGGGGCAACTAGGGACAGGCAATAAATGCTGGGCCCAGCCGGCAAGGCCCACATCCCACGAGTGAATTGAAAAAAACATGCTCTTGGATGAGCAATTCCAGGGCTTTGACCCAGTGACAATGAGGACCAATAAGATATGCCCCAAGTGGGATGGTACCTGGAGAGAAACTTGATCTTGGCCCTGTCCATCTGTGCCCTCTAGCTCATAAAGGTGTTGGTTACCAGAGGCATTTGTTTCTGGCTGTGAATGAAATGCAATTGTGTGATATTTCGCTGGAAGATATGCAACAGAAGTCATTATTGATGTTTGGGATGAGGGGTGAGCAACTGTGAAAGGTAATGTGTGACAAACATTGGGAATCTGTGGGGTAACTGTGAACCTCTCTGTTGGAGTAGATATTCTAAGGACACTGAGGTGAAAGGGCCTACAAATCAGTGTTGGTCTACAGACTATGGGCGGTGGATGATGGCAAGCATTGGCTTAGTCACTCATCTTGATCACTAACACAGCCATAGCCATCATATTGCAGTTTAGAATATTGCTTCTGACGCAACTCAGAACTCACCAGTTTTCCATGACGTTAAAATGCTCCCTGAATTAATCAGAATGGTCTATCATCTACCAGTCAGCAAAGCTTCAATAAAGACAGGATATTTAGATGGGACTCACTTCCATCGAATGGAAACCAACGTTCTGTTGGCTTTGAACGTAAAAGGCTGCATGCATCCTCAAAAAAAATCAAACTGCGCGTAGCTATGAGAAGACAGGCCTAAAATTCCTGGAGATTGAGCCAAGATTTTCTTCAACTCCTTCTTAATTGGTTTTGCTTCACATTACCCAACAAGATTGGCCTATCTACAAAACACACCGCATTGCGCACATACTTACACACATACACACACAGACCCACCTAGACACACCATATACTATATACACACACACACACACACACACACAGACAGACAGACTCACTCTCACACACCAATATCCACACACATACAGACACATACACCATACACACACGCACTCTCACAACACATGCACACACTCACACTCACACGCAAAGTCACACACTATAAACTCACATACACACAATAAACACACACACACACGCAGAGACACATACATCATATACACACACACTCAGACAACATATATTCTCAGACACAACATCAAACGACACAGACAGGCACACAGACACACTCTCAGACACACCCACAAACAACACACGCATGTACACACACACATACACCATGTACACGCACAAGCCACATACACTGTCAAACGTATGTATTCATCAATGAATGAGAGGCTGACAAATGCAGCAATTTTCAGCTGAGAGGTCGCTGCATTGTAAAGAAGCTGGGGTGAAATGTCTGGCTGCCATTCAAAAAATTTTGCTGAATTTGCTCCATCTAGAACGATTAAGTTTAGTGTTTTCTGAAGATGTTGTTGTCGTTATTTACACCCCTTAACATTAAATTTGTGATTCATCTATCATTCTATAAAATTATTCAATTAATTCATTACTGAAATTCAAAACCCAATTAGAACCCCGAATGATCTTCATAATGCTCAATAGAGTGGGGAACATAAACCCAATTGCAGTAGCTGTAGATGTACCCGAGGAGCAGAACAAGAATGGTAAAGGCTGGCAAGGATAGTGTCTTCCATTCTGAATGTCAATGTTGTTTTGTTCACAAGTTCATGGATTTGAAGTCAAATTTAGGACATCTAGTGGCATCAAGCCAGCACTACGTGGTAGAGTTAAAGGCTCAAGGAAAATTATTCAGAGAATCCCTGCAGTGTGGAAACAGGCCATTCGGCCCATTAAATTCACACCACCTTCCCAAGAGCAACCCATCCCCCTTACCTATCCCTGTAATCTGACATTTCCCATGGCTAACCCATCTAACCAGTACATCCCTAGAAGCTGTGGACAATTTAGCATGGCCAATCCACCTACCCTGCACATCTTTGGACTGTGGGAGAAAACCAAAGCACCCGGAGGAAACCCATGCAGACACAGGGAGAATGTGCAAACTCCACACAGACAGTCACCCGAGGGTGGAATTGAACCTGGGATCCTGGCACTATGGGGCAGCAATGCTAACCACTGAGCCACCGTGCAATTCTAACATTAGTTTTCACTGTCATGAATTAATATATATTTGTTAAATTTAAAATCTGTGTTTAAATTAGCAGGATATAGATTAGTGATAGATTACTCCTGGATTAATGAGGTTTAATTTCAAGCATATAGTAAGGAGTGACAAATCCAAACTGAACAGGACGTCCCACTCCTGGAGAGAGCCATTGGACCTGAAATGTTAATGTTGTTTCCTCTCCATGGATGCTTCCAAACCTGCAGAATTTCTTGAGCCATTTTTGTTTTTGTTTCAGATCTCCAGCATCTGCAGTTCTTTGTTTTATTGTAGATTGCACAGTTTGTGGGGACCCGCTTATTGTGCAAGTTCTCTTTTATTCCAATATACCTGTCCTAAGAGTTCTTGTTTTGTCAAGCAGATTGAGAACTGCTCACTGTGTAACTGTACCAGCGGATAAGAATTTACTCTCCAACTCTTCCTTCTGAATCAGCGAATTAACATTGCAGTGTATAGTGTTCCTGAATGGGCTATTTGTTAGTCATTGACACTTTGCTGTCTCTTTCAGGTGAAGTGGATGATGTACTGGATTGTGTTTGCATTTTTTACTACAGCAGAGACCCTCACAGATCTAATCCTGTCATGGTGAGTAAAGAATCACAGCAGGACTGCTTCGCGAATCGACATACAAACAATATTGCTCAATCAATTAACCAGGTCCCTTTAAGGGATAAAGCTCGGGGGTGCAGTTTCCTTTCTATTTCTGATTAGCCTGTCCCTGAGTCTGCATCCCTGCACCTTCCACCCATATCAACTCAAAGATTGGTTTGGTGATGGATGAGAGTTAGGTTGATATGTAGGACCCAGTGTATCTCATCCACCTCGACAGAACACCTAGACTTCACCACAAAATCCTACAATTGAATCTCAAATGAGTCTAATAAATTCGTGTTTTGCCATCTACAAGACCACTGATTGTCGGATTTAAAGAAACATTCTTCCTGCCTTCAGATCTGAATTTCGTTTTCACCAGTTGTCGGCTTGTTCTAAATTACTGGTTGCGAAATAGTTCCCTGGAATAGGTCAACTGAAAACAAAAAAATGCTGGAGATCACAGCAGGTCAGGCAGCATCCATGGAGAGAGAACAAGCCAATGTTTTGAGCCTAGGTGACTGTTCATTGGAGCTGCTCCTATACTGGAATAGGCTCACCTACTCCAGAAAGCAAGTTGATGTGGGTGAGATACAGACGGTATGATAATAGATATTTTGAAAATCAGGAAGTGCTGAATCTCAAACTGACTTTGAAAAAACGTGATTCTGAAAGTGTTCTGTTCAGTGACATGTGTGGTGCCTATCACTGACTTCCTTTGAAGATGGATTGAAAGGTTTGAACAGTTTTGGGGACAGTCTGTTTAATCACTGACTCTCACTCTTCTCAATCATCTTCCTCTTGTGCTCCCGTAGGTTTCCATTTTACTTTGAGTTGAAGATAGCTTTTGTTATCTGGCTGCTGTCCCCTTACACAAAAGGATCCAGCGTTCTCTACAGAAAGTTTGTTCACCCAACCTTATCCAGCAAAGAGAAGGTACCGCTGATGCATCTTGACTGTCTCTTTTATTGTTGCTTCACCTGAAGAGAAAGACGAAGCTTTCAGTATTCCATGAATATTTTATGGAATAATGCAGCAATGATTGATTTCATTCATTGTAATTTCACATCTCATCATTTAATTTCACCAAGCACCCAGTCACCCATATGGCATAAATCATACGAGGACCTAATGTGTAAAATTCTTCACCATGTTCAGCGGTTGCTGGTTAGTGAGCTCCATCTGTGTTTGCTGAAAGCGATTTATTTTGTAGGGCAGTGTCCTTGGTCTGGAGAAGTGGTGTCATGACGATTTGCATTAATGTTGTTAAAACCTTTCATTAGCTTAATTCAAATCTTTGAGATAAAGTTCCAGCAGATCCTAGAAGAACAAATACGCATGTCCGATATCATCACCATCACCTCTTGTTTGTTTGCAGATGTTGAATTCTACTCTCTGCTCTTCAATATCGCTGAAAGAGCTTTTCAGATGGACCAGTTTGCCTCCATCTGCAGGTCCAGTTCAATTCAGACTTGCCACTCCTCAGTGGGATAGCACACTGGAAATGAAGCCCTGATATTCCTGGAGTCATTACAAACGTTAAAGATTTTTAAAAGTACACCAAGATTTTCCAACATATGTCATTTACAGACCCTGGCTAACAGAAAACACAGACCAGATTTCTGCAATAATCAAAAATGACTGTTTATTCTAAGTAATTAGATTTTAACTGCAGGTAAACATTAATGAACTGTTGACAGGTAACTGTATTAATTAAAACTCTCATCCTCTTGTGAACTCCCCATTACACACATACACGCACAAACAAAACACACATTCACACACACACAACATTGTCATGGATAAACACACATTCTCATACACAAACACACATTCATACATTGTTACACATAAGCACACACACACCCTCACACATTCACACAATCACATACGCTCAAACACACACATGCACGCGCACACACGCACACACTCACACACACATGCACTCTCACACACACAAAAACACATACATCCAAATAAACACACACAAACACTGTCACACACAAACATGCACTCAATCACATGCAAATGCACAAACACATACTTTCTCACACATAAACACAAACACACATTCATACACACACACACACTCACACACTATCTGACACATAAACACAGTCAAACACATAGACACACACTGTCTCGCACACATCCACACCGAGACATTGAAAAACTATGTGTTTTTTTAGGTAGATGGAAAGACTGAGAAGCCAGTTCAGTGATTTCTGTTCACAGAATAGCACAGATGATTGATATGATTCATGTGGTTGTCAAAAGCTACTTATGAGTCTTCCTTCTTACGCTGGCTTACAGGAGGCACGGGGTTTGGTTCCCATTTTCAGAAAGGTCTCTGATTTGTTAAAAGTCACCGTTCACACAACTGGGAAGGAAAAGTAAATTTCTTTACTTCACCTTTAAAGAGGGTTTTGCTTCCAAGAACAGAGAGAGCTCCTGAGTTGGTGAAGATCTGATCGCTTCTCTGTCTCTGGCTCACAGCCCCTAGCTGTTCAGCTGCCTGAGAACCAATCACATAGCTATTAGAAGGCAGAAGCCCTTAGTCATCAATAACTGGTCACTAGATCACAGACCAATCAGCTGCTTGTTGCTGGATAAATCTTCATTTGTACACACCCCTTGGTTCCAGTTCATTTGCAAAGTGCACTTCAATCACTGCTTGAACCAACAGCTGCGTAAATGATGCTTGAGATGAGTATTAGGCACCTTGCTTTCATAGCAATCCTCCCATAATCATATTGAATGGCAAAATAGACTTAAAGGACCAAATGGCTTACTCCTGCTCTTAGTATCTATGTTTCTAATCCTAGATTTTTAAAACAGTTCTTTTCTCATTTCACTCCACAATCAAACATACAGAGAAATAAAAAGAAATAAACGTGGTCTTTACAGACTGTATTGAGGAATGATACAGGCCAGTATAAAATGCAGTGCATCACTGTGTGAGTGTTTACCCATGTTAATGTAAAGTGCAATTTATTTTTACAGTCAGGCCAGTTATTCCACTTTAGGAAATGTATGGACATCTTTATTTTTGATTAACATTAATCAATATGATAGAGGTTAATCAAAGATAGTAGGAACTGCAGATGCTGGAGAATCTGAGATAACAAGGTGTAGAGCTGGATGAACACAGCAGGCCAAGCAGCATCAGAGGAGCAGGAAGGCTGACGTTTCGGGCCTAGACCTGAAGAAGGGTCTAG